ACTACTTGGTACTGGCTAAGAAACAGGGTGGTAGACCAGTGGAATAGGTTAGGTACACAAGACACAACAGTCAATGACCATACTAATCTACTATTTGATAAATACAAAGACTAGTTTCTGGGATAAAGTATCACTATTTAACAAAAATTGTCGGGAAAACTGGAAAAATGTATGGCAGAAACTGGGCATAGACCAACATCTTACACCCTATACCAAAATAAAGTCAAAATGGGTACAGGATTTAGATATAAAGACTGATACTATAAGCAAACTAGAAGAGCAAGGAATAGTTTACCTTTCAGATCTATGGAGAAGGGAAGAATTTATGACCAAACAAGAGATAGAGAACATTATGAAATGCAAAATGGATAATTTTGATTACATTAAATTGAAAAGTTTTTGCATAAGCAAAGCCAATGTAATCAAGATTAGGAGGGAAGCAGAAAACTGGGAAAGAATGTGTACAACTGGTGTCTCTGATAAAAGCCTTATTTCTAAAATATATAGAGAACTGAGTCAAATTTATAAGAATACAAGTCATTCCCCAATTGATAAATGGTCAAAGGATATGAACAGGCAGTTTGCAGAGAAAGAAATTAAAGCCATCTATAGTCATATGAAAAAATGCTCTAAATCACTGTTGATGAGAGAAATGCAAATCAAAACGACTCTGAGGTACCACATCACACCTATCAGATTGGCTAACATGGCAAAACAGGAAATAATAAATGTTGGAGAAGATGTGGGAAAATTGGAACACTAATGCATTGTTGGTGGAGTTGTGAAATGACCCAACCATTCTGGAGAGCAATTTAGAACTAGGCCCAAAGGGCTATAAAATTGTGCATACCCTTTGATCCTGCAAAACCACTTCTAGGTCTGTAATCCAAAGAGACCATAAAAATTAGAAAAGGACCCATATGTACAAAAATATTTATAGTAGCTGTTTTTGTGGTGGCAAAGAATTGGAAATTGAGGAGATGCCCATCAATTGCGGAATGGCTGAGCAAGTTGTGGTATATGAATGTAATGGAATACTATTGAGCTGTAAGAAATGATGAGCAGGCAGACTTCAAAAAAAAAAAAAAAAAACAAACAAACCTGGAAAGACTTACATGAACTGATGCAGAGTGAAATGAGCAGAACCAGAACATTGTACACAATAACAGTCACATCGTGGGATGACTAACTTTGAAAGACTTGGCTCTTCACAGAAATGCAAGAATCTAAGACAACTCCAAAAGACTCATGTTGGAAATCACTACCCACATCCAGAGAAAGAACTATGGAGTCTGAATGCAGAATGGAAGCAGACTATTCGCTCTCCTTTTCCTTTGTTGTTTTGTTTTATTGCTTCATTCTTGTGGTTCCTCCTATTAATTCTAACTGTTCTTTACATTGTGACTAATGGGAAAATATGCTTAATATGAATGTATAAGTAGAGGCTATATCAGATTACATGCCATCAGGGGTAGGGGGAGAGGAATAGGAGGGGGAGAAAATTTAAAACTCAAAATGTTATGGAAGTGAATGTTGAAAACTAAAAATAAAAAAATTAATGAAAAAAATAAAATAAAAATAAATTTTTATTGATGTCTTTTGTCTTTACATTTCCTCAATTTCACACATTATTCCTAGCCCTTCATCTCCCAGAATCATCCCACAACAAAGACTATTTTAAGGAAAAAGAAAAAAAGGAAGAGGAAAAAATAACAGCAAAACCGATCAATAATTGAAAAAGTCTGAAAACATTTGTAATAGGTCATATATCTGTCAACTTCCCACCTCTACAAAGGTTAAAGGGGGAGGTATAGTCTCATATCTCTTTTTTTGAGACTTAGTTATTTGTAATTCTGCATCATAGTTGATTGTTTTATAGTTGTTCTTTTCATTTACATTGCTGTAGTCATTGTGTACATTTTATTGACTCTACTTACTCTGCATTAGTTTATATAAGTCTTTTTATGTTTCTCTGTATTCACCATATTCTCTGGTTCTTACAAGATAGCAATATTCCATTACATTCATGTGCCACAATTTGTTTAACTATTGCCCAACTGATGGCCATCTACTTAGTTTATCATTACTTGTTTAATCTCTTTTTCTGAGGTTGGGTTGTTAAAATTTTCTCCTTGTTCTGTCAAAATGTATATTTACATATTTTTGTAAATATTCATCAATTTTATTTAGGTTGTCAATTTTAGTGGTATATATTAGGCAAATCATTTCTAATAATTTCCTTTATATCTTTTTTCATTTTTGACAATGGTAATTTGGTTTTCCTCTTTTTTTCTCTATTAATTTATTTTTAGTTTTCAACATTCACTTCCACAAGATTTTGAGTTCCAAATTTTCTCCCCATCTCGCTCCTCCCCCTACTCCAAGATGGCTTACATTCTGAATACCTCTTCCCCTAATCTGCCCTCCTTTCTATCTCCTCCCCTTCTCTTATTCCCTTCCTCTTCTATTTTCCTGTAGGCAGGATAGATTCCTATACCCCATTGCCTGTATATCTTATTTCCCAGTTGCATGTGAAAACAATTTTTAACATTTGTTTTTAAAACTTTGGGTTCCAAATTTTCTCCCTTCCTCCCTCCTCACCCACCCTCATTAAAAAGGCAAGCAACTCGACACTGGTTATACAAGTGTAGTCATGCAAAACACTTCCATAGTGGTCATGCTGTGAAAAACTAAGTATATTTGCCTTAATGTTATCCCAACCCCCATTTATTCTCTTCTGTCTTTTGACCCTGTCCCTCCTTAGAAGTGTTTGCTTCTGATTACCCCCTCCCCAAGTCTGCCCTCTCTATCATCCCCCTGCTGTCTTGTCCCCTTCCCCCCTATTTTTCTGTAGGGTAAGATTGGCTTTCCTCTTTTTAAAAAATAATATTAACTAGTAGTTTATTTTATTCCCCTCAAATAACAGCTTCTAATTTTACTAATCAATTTAATGTTTTCTTTTTCGCTTTCAATTTCATTGTTCTTCTCTTTGATTTTTCAGAATTCTATTTTGGTGTTCAATTGTTTTTTAAATTTGTTGGTTTCTAAGGTTTTTTTCCCCCCCTTTAGTCTTATGCCCAATCCACTGAACTGTTTTCTCCCTCTTTTTTGATGGAAGTTTCAAAAGACAAAAATTTTCTTCTAAGGACTGCTTTGGCTGAATGTCTCAAGTTTTGTGTCACTGAAAATATGCACGGTTGTTGAGATCACAATAAAAAAAAAGAAAGGGGAATAAAATGTCTATGCCTTTTAACCCACAGATCCTCATATTAAAAGACAGAAAGTTCACATATCCACTAAGATATTCATAGCAGCCTTCTCTACTACAGCAAAAAAATAATTCAAACAAAGAAGATGCATACTGGTTAATGACCAAACAATTTATGATATATGAATGTAATGGAGTATTTATTTACTATGCTTCAAGAATTCCAAGAATCATGGAACACTTATATAAACTGATGTAAAATGGAGTAGAACCAGGAAAACAATATGCACAATCATTACAACAATATATATGGAAAAAAATAGCAACATTAGGGCATGGCATCTCTACTGTCTTCCTTCCTTCTCTCTCCCAAACACCAAACAACAAAAACAAAAGTAAACTAACTCAATCTTAGATTATATGGCAGAATGCATCTGAAATATTATGTTCAGTACAAAGTACTTATATTTTTTTAAAGCACAATAACAAATTAGAGAAAGTCCTGGGGAGGTTGACCAATATGGTCAGAGGACTTGAAATAACATAAAAAAAAAAGATTGGTCAAAGGAACTTGGTGGTTTAAGTCTAGAGAAAATTATCTGAAAGGACATGATAGTTATCTTCAAGGACAGCCAGCATGGCATAATCTTTAAAGTGTCAGATGTGGAGTCAGGAAGACAAGTTTAAATCCTGACTCAGATTTCTCAAGTACAAAATTAGGATAATGCTATCTAATCTCACAAGGGGTGTTAGAAGGATCAAATGAGATATTTGTAAAGTGCTTTAAAAATCTTAAAATGCCATATTTATTAAGCTAATATTATCAGTATTGTGTTATTAAGCTCATGAAGAGTTGTCATGTAGAAGATTAGACTTGATTTGTTTAGTCCTGAGTGAAGAACCTGGAGCAAAGAACAGAAGGTGTGGAGAGGGATATTTAGGCTCCATATAAGGACTCCTACTCCACATCTCTTTCAGCTACACTGAGAAATCAGACCTCCTTAAAGCGCACTAGTTTTCCAGACTAGCAGTCCATGGTCTCATGACTCAAGACAAGCATATGAGTAATGTGGGGTGGGTGCTGGGTGTTCCTTCAGTCATTCCAGGCCCATTCTGACCCTAAGTTGCATGCACACACCTTTTACCACAGAAAGGTTTGAGGGCAAAACTTTGAGGAATAGACAATAATCCCCAAGTGGGAGGCAGAGGCACCCTAAAAGTAACGGCCCTCTAGTAAGAGCCATTTCTTTTTCCTTTCATAAGGCCTCAAACGACACATACAAAGGCAAAATAGTTTTAATATATTATGTTACAAAAGTAAAGCAAACAGTGTATACTCATTTTTACAAATTACATAGTGACAATCCCATGCTAATACACGTAAGAAAATGCAGCTTTGAAAAACTGTTGAAATGGGAATGTTTTTCTAGATCTTCTTTCCTCACACAAGGAACTTGAGGTTACTAAGATAATAATTACTGCTTCAGTTTAGATAAATAGTACTTAATGATTTTCATTCAGAAAGCATTTTTCTTCATTCAAAGAGTAAACCAACTTTCTTAGACTATTTCCTGCTATAATCTTAATGATTAAAATGTAGATTTAATTAATATTTTCAAAGCCTTTAAAGTCTGACTCTACTTATAATTTTTAAAAATTTTTTATATACAGTAAATTACAATTTACTAAAAAAAAAAAGACTTTGATATAACTTCAATTCTCAATACAGTCATGCAAAAAAACAGCTAATAAAATAACAAGCCACTATCCTATGAAGTTTACCTGCCCAATATTCTTTATCCTACAAGTAATAGTGAGAACATGGTAAATAAAACCAAATGATTAGACAGAAAAATAGGTTGGAATAGGTGTCATGCTGTTGTAAATCTCTTTTAATTCATTAGGCAGAAATATCTATAAGCAATTCTGAGGTGCATGAAAAGGGATGGATGGTGTTCATCACCTAATAGTACATCATTTATACATGCTGCAACATTTATATTTGTATAGTTGTTTTTTAAGATGTACAGAGAAAGGACATGTGTTTAAAAATGTTGCTAACTATTAGTTTTTGTACATTAAAATTTTCTTTCATCAGATGTAAAGAGTGACATTAATCCTCGTCGAACATTGAGGAGCTCCTCTTCTTGCTGTGGAAAAAATACCACAGTCATGAAATATATAATATTCTTTATACCAACTTTCAAAGTCCTAAAATAGACTATATTTTCCATGTTGGCTTCCTCAAAGTACTATGTTAAGACCACAAAAAATATCAACCACTTGAACTCAGGCAAACAATTTGATGTATATTTTTGGAGTCAAATAAATTGATTTTAAAATTTATCTGGATTTCTTAGTTAACTAGAATTTTTTCTGCAAATAATTTTAAGAGAAAGAAGCAAATGGCTACCCAACTTCCAAGGTTTTCCATGGGATCAAGATACAATATTCTATACCTTCTATATCTACAGTATTCTATAAAGACAACCATTTTCAGAATAACAATAGGTACAAGATTATAAAGTCACCATACTTAAGAAAGTATATTAATGGATTTTAGGAAAATTTTAAACAAGGTTTAAAATAAAATGGATGTTTTAACTGAGTTAATCAGAAAACTCAGTTAACTAGGAATACCTCACTCCCCTAGCATTTGGATTAATAGTTTTTATTTAATTCTCTAAATAAACCCAAACGCAGTGTATTACTACTTCTATCTAGTACTTCTATAAAGCTTCAAAGTTTGCAAAGCACTTTATATACATTATCTTATTTTACCCTCACAAAGACCTTGTGAGGTAAGGTGCTATTTTTATTATTGTTCCTATTTTACCAATAAGAGACTGAGAGAGGTTATGTGACTTGTTCAGGGTCAGACAGCTAGATGAGGAGTGGGGAAACTGTGGCTTTGCAGGAGGTTCCCCACCCCTGAACTAGATAGGTTGAGGCAGAATTTGTACTCAGGATTTCCTGAATCCAAGTATTTAAAAGAAGCCCTATTTCAATTGTAATTACTAATCAACACAGTGCTTCACAGTAGGAACTTAAATATTTATTGAATCAAAATTAACACCTCAGTATTATATTTAGAAGGGAACTAATAACATAAACTCAGGATAGCAATGGAGAGATGCACTTCTTTAGCCTACTTAGTTTTTGGAAAGACAACTGCTTCACCATTTTTCAAAATCTGAACAATGGAAAACTTGCTGGTATCAAAATAGTGCTATTTTTATAGAGTGGCAGAATTATTGATAAGCAAGATCTTATTCTGATGCATTGTCCTTTGTAATTGCAGGCCCAGGAGAAAATACAAGCACATAGTCACGGGGTTCATACATGTTAGGGAAAAGTTATCTTTCTCTCATTTTCTACACTAACACAGAATTTTTTTTTGTCTTCAAATGTTAACCAACTGTTAAACATTTCATATTCACTTATTCTTGTTTCTAATTTATGAGTAGGCAGTGCAGTTTAGTGAAAGTAACACTGGTCTTAGAATCATATAAATTAAGTTCAAGCTCCAAGACAGCCATTTACTAAGCAACGAGCTTAATTATGAAAAAAGTATTTTCAAAAAAATTAATGTACTTGTTAAAACTCCCCCAAATTAAGCCCTTACTAAATGCCAAGCATTATGTTAGTCATACATGTTATATTGTCATATGACCTGTGCAAATCACTTAAACTATTTATTCATCTGTTAAGATGGGGGAAAAATTACAGTTAGGTTCTAAATAGTGCAAATGATGAATCCCCTGAAGTGGTCACATTATTTGAAATAGCACTGCATATTTCCACTGGGCTAGAACCAATTACCATATTTTACTTAATTATAATTTTGAATAGTGAAAATTCAAATTCATATCATCACTTTGGGGGATTCATTAGTTGTACTAATCAGAATTTGGAAGAATCAGGTACTAGTTTTATCTGCACCACCTATGATATAGGGGTCTTGTGAATAAACTGTTTTGTAAACTGTCAAGTGACATAAGGGTAACCTATTAATTACTATTAATAGCACTAAAAAGGCTAAGGACCACAACTTTGGAAAGAAACAAAATTTTGAAAGGAGTTTTCTTTCAAAAGTATCATTCGTTTATTTTAACAGTTTAAACTAGAATAATAATCTATTTACCATTTCCTTAAGAAACCTTTCTTGAAGCTTTTTCATATCTTCTTTCATTAAATGCATCTGTAAATAAAAATAAATTTGTTCCATTTAACTTTTCATAAAGTTTTCCCCTTAGTTTTGGTTATTTAGACTAGTTATTATTTAAAATAATATGCTAAAATATTAAATGGTATGCTAAAATAATTTGTTAAACATATATGCTTAAAATAATATTCTAAAAGTACTAAAACTGTACCTGAGAAGTAAAAATATTTTCTTCATAGTCAATGTTGTGAAAGACATTTTTTTCAAGTGAAGTTTTCAGAAGATGAGCTCTAAAAAGTAAAATGTGAACTGGAATTATTTTTGTATTTACTAACAACACCTTAATTAAAATTGCAGATACATTAAACAAATTTAATATAATATTTTATTCAAAAAAGGTGAAACATTCAAACATTAAAACATTTTTAAAAGCATTTTTATTATATTTGTTAAATAAATCAGTATTTTAGTAATTTGATTCATACATATAAAAACCCTAAATCCACTAACCTTCTTTGTTCATTATTCTGGTATGCACTGAACTTCTGAGAAGTTTTTTTCCAAAAGTCCTTTAAATAAAACCCGTAGGAGAAAAATGTGTTACTTTAATTTGAAATTACTATTAAGTGATTGAAAGACCTCTCATTTAAAACCCCAACGAAAACAATTAACTCTAATAAGGATTCAGATTTAAAAAAAAAACACTATTGTCCCATTTTCTTGGGTGCTAAAACCTTATTATTAGCTACATGAAAGATGTCTCCTATTGTTTCAGGGGTGTAAAATATGAAGATTAACAGATGATCTTAAAAATAAATTAACATTATACTTAGAGATTGCTTTTAAATATGTTTGGAAAAAAGAAACAAAAAACTATGTTTTTAATGTTATACTTAAAAAACACCAACCGAAAATTCTCGTTCCAAGTTTTTTAAAGACTGGGAATCTTTTTCAAAGTTCTCTAGTTCCTCTATGATATTGAACTGGAACTTATCAAGCTGCTTCATTCTATTAAAATAATAAAAGAAAATTAATTTAAAAATAAAAAAAATTCTGAGAATTTCTCAAAACAGTTTTTGCCACGGACCTGTATTCATGAATGTGATAGTTGAGGCTTGTCAGATGCTGCTGAGCTGATTTCAAAGACTGTTTATTAAAATGATCCATTCTTTTGTAGCGGTTCTGAAATACACATATTGTACTTGGCTTTTATTCATTTTTACATAACTAATTTACATGAGAAAAATTTAAAAATTAGTAAAATAAATGTATTATTGTCTTCAAAGTAAAAAAAAAAGATGGATTCAAAACTAAATCCTAGTAATTAAATGCAAACTTGTAGAAACAATTTGATTTTTTAAAGAAAAGGCTAAGCTAAAATTTCATTTTACAAAATGATGATGGTATCATGTTTCATCAATATATGAAAATATTAAGATAACTCATTTCAGTTTTTTAAATGCCATAGTATATGCCATACATATATTAATATGTAACATTTTAACAATGCCAGAAAATACAATGATCTTCAGAAGCATAAAACAATCATAAAATTCTTTATGCTTCCTTAGGCTATAGGATGGCTACCTGGTGTGTTATGTCACAGTGGTAAAAAAGGTATTAGTTCTATAATTATCATACTATAGCTATCTTATAAGAGGAATGAAAAGTTGTTTGTTTGTTTTTTTAAAGACAACTTGCCTGAATTTTTCTTTTAAACTCCTTACTTAGCTTCTGACACATTATGTCTACACCTGAACCTTCAGTCTCCCAAGTCTCTCCAGGAAAAGAAAACTCATTGGCTGACAACGTAGATACACTCCTGGATGCTAAAAAATAAAAATGAAAGGATGACCAAGATTTTCTGGTTAAAATTATTTTATCATGTTTGCCTAGTCCTGGTTATGACTAACCTTATTTTCAAATCCCAGTCATCATCAAACCAGATAGAGTAATCAAATTATCTCCCCAAACAAAACCAAACCTCATTATATCAATTTTAAATTGTGAGGAACTTGTGGGAAATTTTTTGTGATTCTTGATACAGAGATTAAAATTTCAAAATTAATCTCTTTTCTAATGATTACTTTGTTAATGCTAATATTTAATGACAGCAGAATGCATGAAATACATACTTTAACAGTGTGTGTCCAGTGTTCATAGCAGATAAAAATGTTTTAGAAAGATTTTAATTTCAGTGGTTTTTTTTGATACATTTATAGAATGAAATTCTAGATAAGATATATTGTCCTTTCATTCAAGGGCTTTAGCTACTCTAGTGTAAAATATTTTGGTGATAAAGTGATTTAATGTATAAGGTATATATGAAACAGACCCTCTGGTATTCTATCTCAATTTGTAATATACCCAACAATTCAGGGTTTTTGTTTTATTATCTTGCATAGCCTCGCATACATAGGGAGCACAATTTTTTTTTTTTAACAAATAGAGAAACTAAAGCATAGAAAGGCAATTTGTTATGCATTCCACCTCACAAAGGGGTATAGGCCTAGAACCCAATGCTACTAACTCCTAATTCTATATTTTCTTCATTTAGGCACAAATTCCTTTTTTTTTTTTTCATTTTGTGAATGTGGTTATTTACACTATAAGCCAGGTGTACACAACTTGCGGCCCGCCAAAGGATTTTGGGTGGCCCGCAAAAAATGTAGAGGAACCTATGGCCTGCCATAAGCTATGTCCCAAGTATTCTTATTTTAATGTCAGTCTGAGGTCCCCCTACCTTTGTAGGTAACATTGTCACAATCTGTTTTAAACAATTTTGGAGGAAGTAAATTTTGTCTTCTTTCTTCTTCTTCTTCTTCTAGTTCCACTTCATCAGAATTACTTAGATTATCAAAGGTACGTAAACGTTTGAGATTTGTATGTATACTAGATCCTAAAGCATTGTAAATAAAAATATAACTTAATTATCTCATTAAAACACATAATTTACACATTTTTCCAATTTAAAGCTCTTTGTACAGTCATGAATTGAGCTGTATTTCCAAATATAAGAAAATATGATTTCTGAAAATTATCTATTTTCTTCAAACAATACTGTAACTACGTTATTTAACATTCTTATAAATGAGACACTCTAACCATCCATATTCTTGCTCAAAAGTACAACAGTGATTGATGTTTGGATGAAGACCTAGCATTAGAAGATCAAAGATATCACACTAACTCTATTGCATAATTATTTTACTATATTTTATATAATTTACATAATTTATTTTACTATAATTCTTTAAAATTGGAAATCCATGTGTACTATATAGGAAAAATTTCTATCAACCAGTACATCTCAATACTCATAGTACTAAGAAAGCAGTATTAAATAACTTTAGATATCACATCTTAGAACTACACACTGGACAACAGACATTTAGACAAGTCTTCTTGTTAATAAAATAAAAGCAAAACCTTAATGAAACAGATAAGAAAACCTCCCCCAAGTACCACACATTTATTTTTACTAATACTTTATGCCCTAATAAGACAACACTGAGAAATATATAGGTAAATAGAAAAGGAAAAAGGAGAAGTTTGGAAGCAAGCTCTACATTGTGTTACTCATCTCTTCCAGGACGAAATGACTTTATTGATCTCAGAGAACTCAATGGTTATTTAAGTATGTTAAGAAAAGCAAACCACAACACAAACAGAACCAACCTATCATAAACATATGATTTGAAGGGCACTGAAAGGCTTCCCTATCCTACCCTAAAAGAATGGGATGCTTTTATCCTTAAATATTTCTTACCCCCAACTACCTACCATAGTGCTTCAAATTCACACCAGTATTTTCCTCTGTCTTAAGGAGTCCACTGCCAAAATGAAAATGTTAACTAGGAGAGATGATACTAATGCTACCTTCTACTATTATTTCCCTCCAATCCCTTCTCCAAATGACTATCAGATTAATTATCCTTATACAGGTATCTAGTCACATCATTATTCCCAACAATTCCCAAAAAAAGGCTCCCTACTGCCTACAGAGTGAAATTCAAACTCAACTGCATGGCATTTAAAACACTTCAAAATCTGGCATTAACTTTCTTACTGAATCTTACCTTATGTTTCTCTTCTCCATGGTATTTGTGCTCTAGCCAACCTGGACTATTCTCTGTGCTATCAGTGCAACCTGTGATTTCTTGCCTCCAGTCCTTTACTCAAGCTGTTACATTTCTGGAATGTCTCTCATTGCTTTCTTTTCCTGCTGAATTCCTGCCCATCCTTTAAAATCCAACTCAAATGTCAACTCCTCCACCAGGCCTCTACTTACTTTATGAAGCACTTGTTTTATATCTCCCTAGTGCAATTACTTAAGAAATTGGGTTGAATTGGATTGCCTATCATCAGTTGAACAATCAGTTAGCTGTTTAGCCTATAGGAACCTGAAAAAATGAGGACACTGGAAAACTAAGTTTTGATATAAGACAAAGTTCTGCAGGATGGAAAAAAGCAAAACTAGCATAGCCCATCCCACTGTGTAGCCCAAGGGGAAGGAAGTACGAAGATGCTAGTTACCTTGTAGTGGTATAAGGACTCAAAATGATAGAAGAGAGTGCTAAAAGAGTATTGGAAAAATCCTTACTAAAAACTTCATTTTTTTTTGCTTGAACTTATCACAATTTTGAGAGAATTACTCTAAGCCTAAAAGGGATTTTATCCAACCAGGCAGATTAGTGATGCTAGTGAAAGAGTAAAAATAAAGCGATCTAAGTAGTGATAATGCCAGGTCTGAAAATTAAACATAAGAAGATAAAGCCTGTGTTAAGAAATTAGTGTGGTATGTCTAAGTGACAGTTAAGTAGTTATGTATTATAAATGATTTTCAAAGTTGTTTAAAAACAATATTTTCCTGCTCTTACACAAAAGTTTTCTTTTTTGTTTTAGTATTTTTTTAAATTAGAATATTTTTGTGGTAAAAAAACATATTTAAATGTAACCCTTGTGCTACCCAAACTCGCACTTGCAGGTTAAGTCCTTAAAGGGTGGCTGCTACTTCTGGAGATAACATTCAGCTACTCCTAACACTATTTTCCACCTGTGTGCTTCCCATAAATAATCAGCCAATAGACATAGTAACTCTTAACAAAGGCATTTATTCAACTGATATGGCAAGAACATCTGATACAAAACATTCCTTGCAAAAACTTGGGGCATGCTTTCCCACAAATACACAAAGAGTTTGTGAGACAACGTGGACATGAACTTCAAGTACAATGGTCACAAGGCACAACTGTAGGGAGCCCATGAAGTCAATGCAACTCACAAATCTGAAAATGTTACAGGACCTCAATTTATGTTCTCCTTCTAGAATCATAGACACTCCACAAAATTTACAGCTGGGGAATGACATCTATGCTTGACTGAACATACTCTTGCCAAGGTCTCTGCTAGACTCTTACATGTTGGGCTAGCTCCTTGATGGGCAGTCTTTACCACCTCTTGCTTCAGGCTTAGCAGTAACCCAAGTGACTGGATTACCCTTTCAGAAAGGGAAGAGACCATTAGCCTAAGTTCGGCCAAAGCCTCTCCAGGTCTGACCCCTCAGAGCCTTAGGAGAAGGTGAGACAGCAAAAGTTTTGCCTTTCTTTTTGAAAACTCTTCCAGGTTCAAGACTAGACTTTCTCAGTGAGAGACTTGTCACTAATATTGTGATCAACCAGTTGATTTCCCCCATTTTCATCTCTGAAGGCTAGGCTAGAACCAGGTAATAACCATTTTTCAATAATCACCAAACAGCTTGGAGGTTCAGGGCTCTCCCATTTTTAAAAAGCTACTGTGTTCTCTTGCTGGTCTATGTCAATGTTTTCAAGTGTGGTCTAGGGTAACACTGGGAGTCCCTGAAACCCTTTCAGGGCATCCATGAAGTTAAGAATTATTTTAATAATAGTAAGATATTTTCATTTCTAACATAGTAAATACTGATGGATATAGCCCACAAAAACAAACATCTTTGTGCAGTTCTCAGTATTTTTGAGAGAATAGAGGGATCCCAAGACCAAAGAACTTGAGTCCTATAGGTTTAAGCAAATGACTGGTTGGGAGAACAAAGGCAGACTATGCCTTGGGAGCAAGTTCATCTTTTGCTGGCAATTCATATGCAAATAAATGACTCAAAGCCTCAGATCTTTTAACATGGTGAGGAATGATTCATTCAAATTAACAAGCAATTTTTTAAGCTCCTATCTGCCAAGCACTGTGCTAAGTGCTATGATACAAAGAAAGGCAAAAAACTGTCCCTAATCTCAAGGAGCTTACAGTGTAATAAAAACTATGTACAAATAAGTTATACACAGGATAAATTGGAAAAATCCCAAAGGTAAGGCACTAAGATAAAAGAGCACTGGGAAATGCTTCTTTCAAAAGGTGAGACTTGAGCTGAAACTTGAAGGAAGGTAGGGAAGCCAGGAGACAGAGATGAGTAGGGAGAGAATTCCAGGCATGGAAGACAGTGGAAACGAATAGAGGTGAAAGATGGAGTATCTCGTATGAGGAACAGCAAAGGCACAGTGTCACTGAATCACAGAATAAATGAATGCGAATAAGGTGTAAGAAAACTAGAAAGGTAGGAAGGGATCAAGATATAATGGACTAAGAGGACAGGTTAAGAGGTGCTTTAAAAGTCAAAGAGGATTTTGTTTTTTTTCTGGAGATTAATAGGGAGCCACTATAGTTTACTGAATTGTGTGGGAGTGAGGGTGGGAGGTGAGGAGAGGGTGAGTAATATGCTCATTCTAACCTACAGGAGGATCAATTTGACAACTAAGTGAAGGATGGATTAGAGTAGGGAGAGAGAAGGCAGAGAGAACAAAAGGCAGTAGGCTATTGCAATAGTCCAGGTGTGAAGTGATAAGGGTGGTACACAGTCAAGAGGAGAGAATAGGGTGTATGTAAATAAAAGATGTTACAAAGGTATAGTCAGCAGGACTTGACAACTAATTGGATATTTGGGGGGGGGGGGGGAAGAATGAGGAGCCAAGGATGATATCAAGATATTTAAGATCTTAGAAACTAGGAAGATGGTGGTAATCTCAATAGTAACATGTATAAATATATAAATATGTAATTATAATCTAATATATAATATTATGCATATCACATATATTATTTATGTAAACAGAGGGCAGGATTTAGGGGAAAATATGATATTTTCAAGAATTTACATTATCTTGGGCGATACAACACAAGGTAATTTAAGGAAGAGGACATTGTCAACCAAAAGGAATAGTAAATACTATTCTATACTAGTAAATAGTAAATAGTAAGAAGAGGCACCTGAGCCAAAGAGCTGAAGATTCTAAGAGGTAGAAGTGAGCTAAGCAGGGTAGTTAAGCAGACCTATGCTTTGGGAAAATTATTTTTGGAAGCTGTGTAGAAAATAGATAGGCCAACAGAGAGAAACCAGTGAGAGGTCTATTGCATTTTTCCAGGCAGGAAGTTATAAGTATCTATACTTAGGTGGTGGCCATGTGAGTGGAGAGAAGAGGACTGATGTGAGAAATGTTATGGATGTAGAACTAACTGGATGTAGTAAATGACTGAATATGGGAGATAAGGAAGAAGAAAAAGTAATGAGTCATTCTACATATTGCTATTACATATTGCTCTTATTATTTTACATATTGCTAAATAATATTTTTTAAGTTACAAACCTTTTCGATGAAGAGTATTAGTAGGTATGTCATGCAGTTTTTCTCTCTTTGAGCTAGACAGGGATAACCATGATGGTGAAAGGGGTTCCTATAACACATGGTAATTAGATAAATTCAGAACAGAAAAAAAAAATAATTGCAGCCACTTTTTATTTATCCATCTCTTCTATACCTTTTAGACAACTATCAACTTCTATCCTTTTCTTCATAATATTTTCTGTATTTCTCCTGGTTTCTCCAAAAACACTACCTCTAGTCCAGGTTATCATTACCTCATAAATTACTACACCTAAATAGCTGGTCTCCTTCACTCTAATTTTCTCCTACTTCATTCCAGCCAGCTTAATTTTATACTATGATCAAGATTAAACTGTTTGCCCTGGCTTTTTAAGCTATTCATAACCTGGTCCCATTTCATTTATTCAATTTGGTTCAATAAACTGTATTAGAAACTGAGGATACAAAGATTAAAAGGCTCAAATAATGACACAGCCCTTGCTCTCAATAAAATTCTATTATATGAAAGCTGTTGTTCTTATTAATCCCAAAAAGTTGCCTTTAATCACTAACCCAAAGACTATAGCAAGCTCAATTCTACCTCTGTGACATTGCTTCTGTTCTTTCAAACTGTAATGCCATTCCTACTATAACTCTATCCCAATCCTATCCAGTCTTTGAGCTAGTTTTCATCCTGTCTCCTTCCAAAATATATATACACTATATCTAAAATCTCTTAGCTCTAAAATTATGTCATATAGTTTTGTATCTCCCATAGTTTCTAACACAATTCTAGGCAAATAGTAAGTACTCTATATGTACTAGTTAATTGACTGTAACCATGTCAAAAAAATCTAAGTCAGGTTACTGTATAATTAGGAAACAGTAAAGTCTAAATTCAAAATGCTTAAGTAACAAATGACAAAACCAGCCAACCCTGTAATTTCAGTAACAGGATAATAAATCTTAGAACTTAACTAAAGTTATTTATCTATGCAAGTGTCTTCAATCAATTTAAAAAGTTATTTCCTATTTTCTTTCCAAATCCTCAGATAGGAAGGTAAAGATATATAGATATACATACATATAAAGATATTAACATGTATGCATATATACTTATAACATATATGTGGATACACATGTGTAGCTATATGTTCCAGGATTAAGAAGCTACTCATATAAAATTTACTTATTTACAATTCTCAATTTCAAACAAGAAATAAAATATTCAGGTAAACTGTGTACATAGTTAAGAAATATACAAAATAATATTAAATATTTGTCTCATTACAATTTTTGGTAATGAACTAATTTCCACAGCTAAGTTTTTGAAGTTTGATAGCTATCAGCAATTTACCTGTTGTGTACTTTGAATACAATTTTCATGGATTTTTTTCAGTTCCAATCCACTAAATTGTTTTTCTGAATTATAACTACTTAAATCTACAGGGTTGTCATAATCTTGTATATTCTGTGAAGCTATTTTTGCATCTTTTACACTATCATCAATTTTGTCCATTATTTCAGGAGCAATTCTAGGCTAGAATCAATAAGACCAAACAAAACAAATGTATTAGAAGCTGGGGATCATTATTTGGTAGTTTTAAATTTTTCTTACAAATAATTTTCCTATAATTCAGTTCCACATGACAGCAAAAATATTTCACAAAGTGAAAACACTGACAGATGTTCGCAAATACTATAAATACTTATGAGCATTTTTCATAATTTTTGTTTAATAAATTTTCCCAATAACATTTTCAAATAAAAGGATGTAATTTAAAAGACCTGTTACCTATTGTTGTTCTCAAGGTGTGTTCCAGAGACTCCTGGGTGTTCCTGAGACCCTTTCATGGGGTCTGTGATGTCAAAATTATTTTCATAATAATACTAAGACTTTTAATTTCTAATATGATAAATCTATTCAATATAACCCACATAAACAAAAGCTCTTTGGGGCCCTCAGTAATTTTTAAGAGTGTAAAAGGTCTTGAAAACAAAAAGCCTGAGAACTGCTAGTTAGACCACTGAATCCTTAAATTGTTTTACTTGAGATTAATCATGCCAGTGATTAAAGATTTCATGTTCATTTTATTTTATTTTTTGAAAATCAGTAGGATTCCATATTAACTGATATTACTTCAAAATTGTTAATTTAAAACCAAAGAGTAATAGAGCTAATCTGGAGAGAATTTGGTCAAGCTCCATGCCTTCAGGCAATAGAGTGTAGAGTACGGGTAATAAAGTGTAGGTTGTTTTCTTAAAGATATCTACATCTAAATAAATTCCCCTTTTAACTGAACTAATTTTATTCTTGTTTGGTATTTCATGTTCACTGAGAACAAGGAATTACATACATGTAGAAATACTTCATCGACTTGAAGATAATAATAGTTAATTCTTTAAGTTTATCTTAATCAGGTAATTTTCGTTCCAATGTCTTTAATTTTTTTTCTCCCAGGGCCCGTTTTTCAGTCCTTAAATAATTTTTATTTTTCCTTACATACTTCAATTTCTCCACATTTTTCTAAAAATGTAGTGTCTAAACCCATAAGGCTGTTCTTTATTTAAGTTCTGAAAAGTACAGAAAAGAGCCAGATTACTTTCTGCCTGTACTAATATAATGTGGAATTAGCTTATTATACAATGGTACTACACTACTGGCTAATAAGTAACCTGTCAATTATTCTGCATAGGTTTTGTTCTGCTCTATCTGTGCTTAGCAGTCAGTAATTTTATTTTTTTTTAGAAAGGACAGCATTTAGGGAAGAATTTAATAAATTAAAGTCTTGGCTATATATAAGTAATTGCTTACATAATTCTGTTCTTAAATCATTCATTTTAAAATATATTCTACAAGTAAATAAGCTGCACAGATAGGAAAATTAAATTACAACCTTTTCAATTACAGTAATCCTTTCTAGACAGCCTTTAGAAAACTGAAGCAGCAATACAAAATGGCACTATAGTAGCCATAAAAATGAATTTACTTGGGGCAGCTAGGTAGCGCAGTGGATAGAGCACTGGCCCTGAAGTCAGGAGGTCCTGAGTTCAAATCCAGCCTCAGACAAAAACATTTGACACTTACTAGCTGTGTGACCCCACTTAACCCCAATTGCCTTAAAAAAAAAGAGAGAGAGAGAATTTACTGTCCATAAAGGTCTTTCTGCTTTTTTCTTACTTGTCATTCAAGCTATGTTTCCGTATCTTGAATTGCCTATCTACACATGTTGAGTTCAATTTAGGAAATTTACCATTCCTTAGAATGCGTACTGCTTAAATATGCTTATTTCTTTGCTACCAGTATCTCTTTTTCCAGAGAATAGAAGGAAAGAAGAGAAGAGAAAAAAGGAGAGGAAAGGGAAGGGAGTGGAGGGGAGAAGAGAGACGAAGAAAGGAGAAGAGACAGGAAGGAAGGAGAGGAGACAGGAAGGAAGGAGAGGAGAGAGAAAGGAGAAGAAGGAAAGAGAGGAAAGAAGGAAGGAGAGAAGAGGAGAAAGGAAGGAAAAAACTTGCAAGACAGTTTTTATAAATTTTTATAAAATTTTTAAATTTTTATAAATATGGAAGAAAATATGGCAGATACAATTTGAAATTAAAGATCATTTTCTAAAGAAGAAATGATGGACACTTTCTATTTTGAGTATTTCTATTTACTTTCATTAATCTTTGCATATTTCAATTTTCTTGTTATTTTAAAAAAAAAAGTCTTAAAGCAAAATAAACTACTGCAGGCAAGACATTACTATATTCACATCTTTTTTTTTTATAACTGAAGAAATTCTTACCAAAAACAAAGGACTTGAGAAATGTTTATTTGCACACATCAAGTTTTCATCAATATTTTCAGGAGATTCTATCAAACATTTGCTTTGAATTTTCATGTTTGTAGTGTAGAAGCTATTGCCTGTGATGCCATGCACACTGTTTAAAGATTCTCTTTTTTCAGGTGTTGAATGTTGCGAAAAAGGGGATGTTGACTTCATTGAAGGAATATAATCTTGAGGAAATTCTCTTTCAATTGTTTTCTCTGAACCTGTAACATAGGATTACCAAAGATTGGAATTGCCAAATTAATCATTGCTGTTTACATTTTTAAAAATAGCTAAAACCATCATGTGAAAAAACCCAACATTTCTTATTTAAGTGACATTGTTAAATTAAGTCCTTTAAGTAATTAGATTTAATCTTCAATTAAGACCAAAATGATATATTTAAAATGTTTTATAGTTCTTGAAAAACTCTCAGTGACTAGAATTCTTAAAATTAAAATTTAATAAGAAATTTCAAAAAGATTTAAAAAGGACTTTCCACATAAATTATATCATAAGATCAAGCCAAGGTATTATAGTCAGTATGTTGACATCATGTCCGTTGGATAATAAAATGAGGAAACTAAGTATTAGAAAAGTTAAGTGAATAGCCAACGTCCGGAATTAAGCTAGTATAAACTGCCAAACTAATTATCAGTTACTCAGTTCTCACTTTCAATCGATAATACATACATATATACATACTTACTTACACACATATATATTTATGTACACAATTTAATCTCAACAAGTTTTATGTCTGTAAGTATTTATGATGATGGTAAGGCAGATGTTGTAGGATAAAGGCCTAGCTATACTAGTGATAGAAAAATTAAATTAACGGCATTAATTTTAAATCTCTAATTTTTACTGTGAAGTTAATAAAATTAGTACATTTTAAAATAATATTTAGAACTGTGTAGACATAATCTCAGAAATGCTATTCTTGTTGGAGTTGTTCTCATAAATAAGGTTTCCTTATTAGAAATTAAACGTGAACTCCCAAGCTCCAAAAGAACATGGCATGTCTATAATTAAATGACTTTTGCATAAAAACAAGTATGTTTAATTGTTTTTTCATACAATAAAGATATCAAATTCTTTCAAGCTTTGGATAAATGACAACTATAATTTGATTTTTCCTCTATTAGCAAGGTAGTGAGGTAGCATAGTGGACTGAGCACTGAACTTAAAATATGAGTTTGAATTCCACCCTAGACACTTATAGTAGATATGTGACACAGAAAATCAATTAACTTCTCTCAGATCCTCATCTGTAAAATGGAACTAATAATAGTACCTATCTTACAGGATTGCTGCGATGATCAAATGAGATAACACAAGTAAAGAACTTTGCTAATCTTAAAACACTATATAAATGCTAGCTATTATAATTGCTACCATAGCATTAGTTGTCATTTTACTACTGTAGCTTAAAACTTAAGGAAGGTTTAAATAGACTATATAGCATTTTAACTGTAAAGATTTGCATTTGAGAAACAGAGTTAAAATATGTGATGGAAAACATATAACAGGAAAAGAAGGTAAGTCAGAAATGCAAATGAAGGTGAGCATATAGAAAGTCTGAAGGATCCATCAGTGTCTAGGAATTATTGAAGGAATTAGATGAAAGCCTTCATAATATTAGGTATATCCTCTAAGGAGGATTTCTAGAAAGGCACTGACAAAGAATTAGAGTAAGAAAGTGTGGAATTATGATGTGCAGCAGTGATGGAAGTACCCACTCTTATGAGGTCCATCTAAATATCTTAATTAAAACTTTCTACTAATATCAAAGTAAAATTTTACCATGACTATACTTCATAAAAATTAATCCTAATATCATCCTCAAAATATGAAAATGATTTTTCTACATATAACAGAGAAACCTCTCAATGAATTTTTCATTAACTTAACTGTAGTCACAGGAGAAAATGAGAGATAATGTGAGCCAGAAATTCTACAAAAAGAAAAGAAAAACGACACTAACATCTCATTACTTCTATAGATGCTGGGCTTTCAGATAAGGGAACTGGAGATGAATCAAGTCTTTTTTCTCTTCCACAATCTTTTACTTTAGATGATTTTTTCCTTTCTTTTGATATTTCGTCTTCTGCTTCAGTAGAAATAGCATTTTGGCCTTTTTTCAATTGCTTCATGGTTTTACTTTTGTTACGCATATTCACAACCTAAAAAATAAAACAACCACTAAATGATATTTTGAAATGCTTCATTGGTAGGAATAATTATGTGCTTGAACACACAATGAACAGAATATATTTAATTTTATTAAAAATCAATTATTTAGTGCCAAATTATGAACTGTATCACACTGTAGGGGATTGTAATGAAATAAAAGTCCTAGATCTGATTTCCATACCTTAATGGTTTTCCGTATTTGAAAAAATCAAATATGCCACCTCATTTTTTTCAACTTCCCTTCAAAACATCAATACTATTTGAATATAAAGAAACTCATATAAAGGTTAATATAGAAGTTTATTTACTTAAAATAGTGGTCCCAAAATTTTGTTTAACTAATGGCAACTCTGAATCTATTTTTATTTTTGTAGGCCTAACACTCTTTAATCATATAAATAATAAGATCAGTAACATACTCATCAATGTTACAGATTTTTGAAATAAATATTATAAAAATCATATCTGCCAATCAACTAAGGGACTAAATGATCCGTTAGTTGTTTATAATTTCAAATATAAAACATTACGAGTAAAATACAATCATATTCAAATGGATTTCTGATCTCAATGATGCCGGTTTTCCCTTCAACAATGCAAAAAAAAATGAAAACATTAAAAAAAAATTTAACGATTTTCAAAATCACTGACTATAAAAAGTCATTCTTTCAAAAAATAATTTAAACTAACTTACCACTTAAGAGATAATCTCAGGGGCAGCTAGGTGGTGCAGTGGATAGAGCACTGGCCCTGAAGTCAGGAAGACCTGAGTTTAAATCCGGCCTCAGAGCAAACACTTGACACTAGCTGTGTGACCCTGGGCAAGTCACTTAACCTCAATTGCCCCCTCCCCCCCAAAAAAGAGATAATCTCAAGAAGAGGTATGAGAGTGAGGAAATTTAATGATGCTCTTGTCTCTAGGAGTAGGGAATAGGTCCTAGACCCATGATTTCAATATTAAAGATAACTAGGTTTGGAAACTCCCTCTACCAATAATAACCAGTACTTTCTCTGAAACTAGTATTAGAGAATTGTCTACAGCACTGATAGATTAAATTATTTGCACTTCTAATGTGTCCAAAGCAGGACTTGAAGTTTTCCTATCTTCATGGTCAGCTCTCTTCCCCGTATTACCCGTTGTTATCAATTCTCTATAGGATTACTAATGATACATTAATGTTTCTTTTTCAAATAAAACTCTTTTCTTTCTAATAGGCTTTTTATGTTGTTTACAAAACAGTTCAATCTTTCCTATTCCAAAGCTGCCAAAATTTGGACATAGAACAACAAATGACATTAAATCAATAAATAATGTAAAGATTTTACTATTCTTTCATGTAGTGGTTTAATACTTCTATTCTCATGCAACTGAATGAAAGAAAAAAATATAACATGGCACTCAATGCTGTGTATCCTCCTTCTGCATCCACAATAATGGCAGCAGGGAAGCCAATATTAACTATTAATATTCTAGATGTGAGGTTTACGTCCAATGATTAATGAACAGCCAATACCACAGAAAGTACTGAAAAACATCAATCTTAGTATAATGAAATTAGAAGCCATAGCATGGAATAATGGAAAATAATGGATTTTGGGATCATGGGATCTAATCCTAGCTCTGATTATTTCTTCTTGCCAGCCTTTAAGCAAGTTACTTAACTTCTGGCCATCAGTACCCTTATCTTTGAAACTAAGGAGTTGGACTAAATTATATTTAAGTATGCTTCCAGTTTGGAAGCCCATAAAATAAACAAATTTCATTCAGCAAAATGGGAAGATGACTCAGAGATTTTCAAGTGAAAAACACATAAGAGAAGTTGATTGAGTTGGTTTTGTTGAAAACTAAAGAACAATTAGAAATATGTTTTCATAGGGCATTTTCTCATCTCATCTTATAGTACTCATGATAAGTATTAACAAAAAATAATTAATTGCAGCTTATGCATCAACATTTCTTAAAAAGGATGAAGAAATAGAAAGATTATATATAGACTCTGACAAGATCATCCAAATCTAGCAAATTCAGTGCAACAACTTTCACAGAGAAGACTAGTGAAAGATATGTAATAAAATATGATTTCAGTGCCAAGAAATTTGAGATGGTAAAAGCTCAAGGATTACTTAGAAACCTCATATCTGTTATTCAGGATGGTTTTTTTTTCTCAAAAAGAGAGAGTTAATAGGTATTGGATATAGTGAACAATGCATAACATTACCAAAAATGAAAAGGATTGTATTTTGACAAAAAAGAAACAACTAGTCTCAGTGACATAGGGATCATTTCTGATTACCTATAAGTTTATAGATTCAATTCGCCAGAGTGAAGGTCAGTTGAAAACAAATAAGAAAAAGATGAAAAGACACTGAAGCAATTATAATAGCTCCAACTTAAACTATTTAAATAAAAACTGTTGAATCAGAAAAATGGATAAAGAGAGATCTATCAATTTTGATTGCCTCCAGTCTTAACATAAATTTAACTGATGTGAATAGTACCAATAGGAGGCCAAAAAAGAGCAAACATTTTATCTCCTTAGAAGTAGTTAGGTGCTGCAGTGGCTGGAGCACTGGGCTTGAAGTCAGGAAGATCCAAGTTCATATCAGGCCTCAGACACTTACTAGCTGTGACTCTAGAGAAGTCACTTAACCTCTGTCTGCATCAGTTTCCTCAATTGTAAAACGGAGAGTATAATAGCATCAATCTCACAGAGATGTTGAGAAGGTCAGATGAGATATCTGTAAAGCTTAGTACAGGCAAACAGTAGGAACATAATAAATGTTTCTTCCCTTCTCTTTTTCCCCAACCCCCTTGCCAAGTGAAGAGACATGACAGCCAAGGGGAACTACAGTTTTGAAGATAATCTTATTTAGAAAATACTAAAGAAAAGGAAAGAGGAAAATTTAAGTAGTTTTGCCTTACAAAACAGTGAAAAAGCAAAGGACTGAAAATAGTAAAGTAATAGGAAGAACAGCTGAAGTCACCCTCACAACTCCTTCACAAAAATATAGAACATGTAACATTATCACATAACGTTTAAAAAAAAAAAATCAGTGAGTCATTTTTCCAGCCCAGGTCAGCATAAAACGACAGAAAGAGAGGTTGGTGGAAGATGTAAACAGGGTCTAGTCAGTGGTACTCAGTGCTAAGGAAAGATCTCCATTCAATGTCACAGAGTGAAGTAAGCCAAGCCAAGAAAACAATATACAAAACGCCTACAGCAATGAAAGAACCATTAAAAAAATCAAAAGTGAATGCCACAAAATTATAAAGACTAGCATCATTTCAAAGAAGAAATATGGGAAGAAACAAATTCCTTTGCAGTGGTGGGAGGTCCACTAGTGTTGAAAGCTGCATATATATACAGACTTTTTTAATGTTTGGAACAGTTTTGGTGATTTTTCCTCTTTTCAAAAATATTTTATTATTTGTTATATGAGATATCTCTCTGAGAGGAAAAAGTGAGAGGGCTTCTGGGGGAAATTTTGGTGATGTAAAAAAAGGCACCAATAAAAATGCATTCAACAAAAAGTAAAACATCTGTAAGTGCTCACTAAATGATGGTTAGTTGAGTTATCACTTTCATATATTAAAAACAGGAAGGAAAAAAAAACCCTGTAAGATAGATGACTGAAACCAATGTGTGAGTTTGTTTTGCTGGACCATAGCTATATATTGAGGGCTTCATTTTTTCATGTTGTTCTTTTCCTTTTCTCAGGTTAGAGAGATTAGTGAGAGGAATAGATTAAATCAAAATAAATATAAAAAATAAATTTTGATATCTGAATTCTAAATGGACAAGTAAGAACGAGCTTTATTAAAATTTGCACAGTCTATTATTGAACACGGGGAAAAGACAACAATGGCTCTGAATGTAGGAGAATATTGAGAATGTCTGACTTAGATTATTTTTTTCTTTTTGTCTAGTTTATTTGTTAGCTTTGATCACAAATGCATCCTAATGGCCCTTTTCCACAGTTAAATGGAAGTAGGAGATTAATTCTTTTTGTTATTATTCATTTATTTATTTATTTTCTTTTTTTGATTTTTTTTATAAACATTGTTCTGCTGCAAATTGACCCAATAACAGAAAATATATTAATTTAATGTTTTTCAAAAAATGAATAAAGGTCTCTAGAACTTTTCATGTTACTTAGATTGAAAATGTAAAGGAAAAAAAAGGCAGAGGCATAAATTAATGCCTCAGAGTACTAAGTCCTAGAGAACATGAACTATATAATAGTTCTCCTTATTGCTTACTTGGCATAGTATCAAGCTTAACTAGTAAACTAGTAATTGCTTATTGTCAAAGGTTTTGTTTTGTTTTAGAAATTAAGAAACAAAGCAATTCTCTAAAATCACTGGTTATAAGTTAAATAAAAGATAATTCTTACTTCAAAAATATATAATTTCAAAGGTGTGGGTATAATGAAGACCACAAACCCTCTATATAGTTTTGATGGTCTTTGGGAGTTACTGTGGCTGAAAAATTTATCCTATGTTCAACTTTGTGATGAACTTCTCTGAATTTGATGGTATACAGGTATATACGTAGCCATCACAAGGCCCACGCTCAAAGCCTTTATAACTTAAAAGGAGGGATCTCCCAGACCTTATACTCCATTAGCAGAACTTTTAAGAACCCAAGCTCACCTCCACAGCATGATGAGACATTTAAGTATTATCTCATTGAAGGGAAATGTCTTGTAATACTTAACATCTGGTGAAGAGGTTGCATACTTTTATTAAGGTTTGATACTTTTATTAGAAGTATCTTGGAGAAGGAAATAGAGGTCCATATATATTTTCAAGTAATTTTAGAAAGAAGTCTCTTTCTATGGTCAATTTTTGTACACTATGCTCATTTCTACTTTAGTGACTTGCTTAAATCTAGAAAGACTGCCTACCTTTTCTAGGGTCATTGCGAAATCCCCTCTGATCCCAAAACTCTTACAGGAAGATTTCCTTGATAATATTAGCTCTGGTTTAAATCTCCTTTGAATTTTGTATAGTATTTATAATATATTTCACATATCTCCAGGCTGGTTACATAGTGAAGAATTTTTTTGATCACAACAACTCTTGAAGACCATCTCCCACACTCTAAAGGGATAGCAATCTGCAACAGTGGAGGCAAGTAGTATCCATACTCATATTTAGCCATCACAGATCTTTTCAAGACTGATGTATAGGTGCATGCGTGCACACACACACATATACATATATATACAACATACATATACATATATATCTACATATATATGTGTGTGTGGACATTCTAAGGGCAAGAATCATTACACTACTTACACTTTTTCTCTCCTCCACCCCCGGAATACAGAACACTGTCCACAGTATATAATCAGTTGCTTAATTTGTATTTGCCAAAAGACTGAACTAAATGTTTGCTTTGAAAACATAACCAATAACATTCTTATAAATCATGTTCTCTGAATGTCCCAGTTTAGGAACTACTAATCTGGAGGATAAAGTATTTAAAGCCATATAATCTATAAAGAAATCATTAGTTGTACTTAACTAGCACATAAAGCACTCCTTTTCTAAATATAATTGATAAGAGGTAATTTATAAATTAAGTGTTATAGAGGTACTTCTGGTTAATTTTTAAGAGTTATTCTACCTAAGTGTTCTTCTCTGAAGGGCATAACTTCAACAAAAGAGATTAGAAGACTCACTTATTTTTAAACATTTGTAAAAATATGTAATGATTTTAACTGAAACTATTTACCTGAACCAGTAAATTCTCTTTACTGAGAGCACTTGGTGAAGATTCTTGTTCACTTTCTGATTCTGAATTTGAGAAATCTTTATAATTTTTTTTTACTACTCCTGCTCTTCGAGGACGTTGAGGTCTTGTTGCTTCTGTGATTCTTTCATCTACCTTTTTGGTGGGATCTGTATTATGAGTCTGAGATGAAATTAACATTAGTAATCATAATGAGCTAAAACTCTATGCTATACATTTTTGTTAAAAATTAGCATTTTAGCAAGACATAATATTTATACAGCTATATAGTTGTGTTAACAACTGTAAACAAACTATATACTTGCACATGCAACTATAAAGTCTTGCTAAAATACTAATTTAAGAAATTCTTGATCCTGGTCCATTTCCTAGTCTTTTCTTACCACAGTCACCAAATAACTGATAGTTCTATTTCAAATAACTATATCCCTTATTATCTTTCAAATGATCTTAAATCATAACTAAAAGATTTTATAAACAAAATTCAATAACTTATGAAAGTAGAGAAAATAAAATGCATTAATACTGTATTTCACCATATAATTGTCACATTTTATGCCAAAAATTTTTTTTGCAAAAAAGTGAGGTGCAACCATTATGTGAAACTTTTTTTTAAATTGTACCAGTATTACTTAAAAATCATTTATTACTAAACTGTATTGCTGGCAGACGAACTGTACAGTGTAGCTAGTGGGGGAAGATGCAAGCCTTACCATATCAAGTGACTTACTCATGGCAGTCTCTCCTGCCTGCCTCCCTTGTGCCTATGACTCTTCATTGGGTTGAGTGACAATAACATTAGTACTGTAGTGCTCTAAACAAACCATGCAAGTCTGCTTTCAGAAATATACTGACAATGCACGTGTTCTGAGAATTTTAGGCTCATGGCTTGCAATGCACTAAAGATAAATGTGTATCCATATGCCACTGGTGAATACACTGTCGCTCTGTTTACCTTTTAAGGGGCATGATGAACAAAATCATACATTGCAACGACTATGTGATGAAAGGTTATAAACTAGTTTTGGGGTTGAAAAAAATTGGGCATGGGGCAGCTAGGTGGTGCAGTGGATAGAGATCTGGCATTAGAGTCAGGAAGACCTGAGTTCAAATCCGGCCTCAGACACTTGACACTTACTAGCTATGTGACCCTGGGCAAGTCACTTAATGCCAAATGCCTCACCAAAAAGCAAAAACAAAAAAAACCCCAAAAAAACAAAAAACAAAAAAACAGGGCATGATGATTATGCAGTGGTGATGGTTATATGGTGATATTTCATATGGTAATAACAGTGCTTAATAGCAAAGTTCAAATAGTGCTTAAATAGTAAAGCTCAAATAATTAAAGAGGAAGTCAGAGTAAGCAAAACACAGAAGGAATCACTAGAGATATGTAATTGGAAGAGATAATGTGGTTAAGAGTTCAGAGAAGTCATAATTTATCTTTTGGTGACATAAAAGCATGTAATGGGAGTGGAGGTAAGATGGCAGAGTAAAGGCAAAAACTTGCCTGAGCTCTCCCCCCAACCCCTCCAAATACCTTTAAAAAATGACTCTAAACAAATTCCAGAGCAGCAGAACCCACAAAAAGACAGAGTGAAACAAATTTCCAGCCCAAGACAACTTGGAATGTCAGCAGGAAAGTTCTGTTGCCCCAGGGTGAATGAGGAGCACAGTCCAACACAGATGGTACCAGTGCTGACCATGCCAGTGCAAACCGTGCCCCAGCAAACTGGGAGCAGGCCTTGGGTAGACTGAATCAGTGGCAGCAGTGGCAGTTTCCAGACCTTTCAGCCCACAGACACCAAAGACAACTTAGAATGTCAGCAAGAAAAGTCTGTTGGACCTGGGTGAGAGTGGAGCATAGTTCAACACAGGCTGTGCCAGCACAGCCTCAGTAAATCAGGAGCAGGCCTTGGGAGTGATTGAATGAAGTAGTGGCAGCAGCTGCTTCTAGAGCTCTCAGCCCACAGATGGTAAGTCAGAGGGAGATTGCAGGGATCTTTTTGCTAGCACTGGGGCAGGACTCTGTTGTTTTGCCCACACTTGGATCCAGGTCAGTCCTGGGTGGCAGTACCAGGGTGAGGAGGAGCACTAGCACAGCAGAGTTTGTGGCCACAATGGAACAGGGACCCTCTTTACAGTTGCAGGGCAGAAAAGAGTGCCTGTGGTCACTCACAGACCAGAGCACAGGTCAGGAGAGGAGTAAACACATCTCCTTAGATCATACCACCTTGGAAGAACTGAAAACTTACAGGTCCCTAGAAATATCTCTGAAAACAGTTGCACAAAACCCTTTAAGTTTGGGACAGTTCACCACCCACCCTGGAAGCAAAGCCCTACCTTAACAAAGAGTTTAAAAGTCAAGTAATAGGCTGGGAAAATGAGCAAACAATGGAAAAAAAAAAACTCTGTAGAAAGTTACTATGGTGATAAGGAAGATCAAAACACACACTCAAAAGAAGACAACAAAGTCAAAGCTCCTACATCCAAAGCCTCCAAGAAAAATATGAATTGGTCTCAGGTCATGAAAGAGCTCAAAAAGGATTTTGAAAATCAAGTAAGAGAAGTAGAGGAAAAATTGGGAAGAGAAATGAGTGATGCAAGAAAATCATGAAAAATTAGTCAACAGCTTGATAAAGGAGACACAAAAAATACTGAGGAAAACAACACCTTAAAAAACAGACTAGGCCAAATGATAAAAGATGTCCAAAAAGCCAATGAGGAGAAGAATGCCTTCAAAAGCAGAATTGGTCAAATGGAAAAGGAGGTCCAAAAGCTCACTGAAGAAAATAATTCCTTAAAAATTAGAATGAAGCAAATGGGAGCTAATGACTTCATGAGAAATCAAGAAACAATAAAACAAATCCAAAAGAATGAAAAATAGGAAAAAAAAATTTGAAGCAAGTTTTTCCAATAAAGGCCTCATTTCTCAAATATATAGGGAACTGAATGAAATTTATAAAAATAAGAGCCATTTCCCAACTGGTTAATGATCAAAATACATGAAGTTTTCAGATGATGCAATCAAAGCTACCTATAGCCATATGAAAAAATGCTCTACTCACTACTGATTGGAAAAATAGAAATTAAAATAATTCTGAAGTACTATCTCATACATATTAGATTGGTAATAGGACAGAAAAGGAAAATGAGAAATGTTGGAGGGAATGTGGGAAAAATGAGACATTAAAAGCATGTAATGCATCAATACAAAGTTTTACCTTCTTAGACTTTGGTAGTTTCACGTCTACTGATGGACCTAAAAATGAAGAAAATTTTCTATAGGTAAAATTTAGAAGTAGATAAAAATTAATATCAAAAGTACCAGTGATTTCACTTAACAGTTTAATGAGTCAAAAGATTTTATCATTTATAAATTCAGGTAACAAGAATACATCTTGATATTTAGAAATCCTTTTTTAGGTATTTCAAACCTAATTTTTAAAAGTTAAAAATTTTTAAAAGTTATAGGCAAGCTTTAAAAAATATTGATAATACATGTCTCATGAGACTGGTAGCAGAGGTATCTCCAAATTATTACTTTACTCTCTTTACCCTTAAAAGCTCTATACTCTGATGCCTCATCATAATACAGATGTGACCAGATTCTTGAAGGGCTATGTCAACAAAACACAAGCATTGGGAAGACTCCAAATATGGGTCCAAGTAAGGTCAAAGCAAATCATCATAAATATATTAATTTTTTCAATGACATTAAGCCATGAATACCATATTCTAAGGTGTGAATTAGCCACACTTCACAATAATAACAATGAAATTTCTGAAGATCAGAATATCAGATGTATAAAGTAAATGGAACAAAATGCTTCTTGGAGGAAACACATTATAAAGTAAATAAATCTGAAATCCATCATTCATTTGGATGACAGATAACAGGCTCCAGCAGTACACATGAAAGAGGGAAAGTAAAACTAGGAACATAATACACAGCTTTTTATAGCACTGTCTCAATCAATGGACATGCATTTGGAAAACCAAATTAGAGCAAAGACTTTAATATTAACCATGGAGTTAAGTGATCATTAATATATTTCAAAATGTCATTTTATGTGCTTTGTTCTCAAAGTTATCCTAAAGCAGGAGTTCTTAACCTTTTTTTGTGTGTCATGAACCTCCTTTCACTTTTCAGAATGCTTTTAAAAATTGAAGGAAATGTTAAATTTCAGTTAGAGAGGTTAGAAAAAAATAAAGATGTAATTTTTTCCCATTCATGTTCACAGATCCTCTGATAAAATCTATCCATAAACAGACCCCTTTTCTAAAGGGTGTATGAGTTGCTGTGTTTTGGTTCTAATTCTGTTCCCATAGTCTATTTCTGCACCACTACACACTTGAAAGATATTTTGAATGATGGCATTTATGTAGGGGGAGGGCAGATGAGTCCTGCAATATAGGACCTATCATCCTTCATATAACTTCCCAGAGGCAAAAAAAAAAAAAAAAAAAAAAAAAAATTAAGGTCCAATCAGGTAAGTGGTTTAGGATTGGGAACATAAATCAAGCAGTGAGATTGTAAAGGACCTTTAAAAAAATACAAAAGAAAGAAAAGATGAAAACTGCTATACTGGGTATCCCAAAAGTCTTACTGCAGTTTTAAGTTTTAGTAGCCAATCCCAGAAAGTTTCTGGGGAGAAAACTTCTACAATGCAAATAAGTAACTTATCTGAAACTTAGAGATTTAAAGGTTGCCTGGAGGCATTGAGAAGATAAGTGACTTGACAGAAGTACACAGCAAGTTTGTATCAAAGTCTACACTTAGCCTAAATAGTTCTAACTGTAAGGTTGTCTATCTACTATGGGGTACTGCCTCTCATAATAAGCCATGGCATGAAATAAAATAAAAAGCAACATTTGGAAAATATACATTTTTTCAAATACCTTAGATAAAATAAGTTTTAGGTGATAAAATAACATATAATAAAAAAACCAGATATTTTCTCAAATAAGTAATTTCTTACTTGATTTCCTATTTTTAGGTTTCTTCACTTTTTTATTTCTGCTATAATCTACCAGCTGAGGTTTGGTTTTTTTGTTTGATCCTCTTAGCCAGCTAATATCAGTCTTGCTGTCATCACCTCTATGATCTGTGTCTGTGTCACTAAAGAGGTGCTTCTTCTTGTGATTTTTTCTAGTCTAAAAAATAAAGGAATGTTTATAATAGATAATTATTTTGCATGAACCATATTAAGAAGTAAGCACTAAATGTAGTATAAGCTAATGAACAGAATTAAACTTGGAAATATACACTGGTAAAATAGTTCTCACTGTTCGGTAAAGCACTGGATAATTTTATTACTAAGCTTGCATGTATATCTAACTGAATTAGTACTAAACAAACTAGCAGAATTAGCTACTTTGATGTTTTGGTAGATCTGTCAACTCATCAATATGGGTACTCCTCTAATGGTGTAGATCATAATTATACCTCATTTAGTGTGACAATTATCTATGTCTTCCATTAGGGGTCCACCCAATATGTTGGATGTTTTTCTCTATATGCCTGGAAATTGTGTAGGTACCAAATGAAAAGATAGGCTTATCAGTTTACCTTACTGTTACTACATAAACGTGATTGGCCCACTTGCTGTTCTGGTCACATATTTCCTTCACAACATATTTTATGGAGATTCTCTAGCACAGTTCTTGATTAATAATATGCTACAGCCAACTTATGTCCATCATGTGTTTCTTCACTGCCCTTTCAATGATTTAAAACTTTAATTCTTTGAAAACTGTTGTATTCTATCATTTGCTGCTATATAGCATCACTGAAAGAATAGTGGTATAAAAAAGATGGGTTTATGTTTAGGGGAAAAACTTGTATGATGTAATTACCAAAAAGCAATCTAGCCTGCTCTCTTAATTTCCATTCAATCCCAGACCCCAACACTATTCATTTGTATTGTCTCTGCAAGGTAAATGTATTTAACAACTTCTCCAAAGGCTGTTCATACAACTATATACCATAGGGTGTCAACAAGAGACATTTTTTATTCACTTAGCTTTTCCTATGTAGATATTATTTTAAATTCTTTTAAATGATAACAATTCTTTTAAGTGATAACATTTCACTTAGGAAACTTTGTAAAATCCTGGGATTTGGTGCAATTAGCAAAATGTTGGACACAAACAAGAACCTCTGGAAGACTTCCCCATAAATAGGAAATTCATTTTTCATTTGCACTCCATGCTGAGCATCCTCATCTTGGGCCTTTTTTCCTTCTCCCTCTGTACTATTACTCTTGAGGATCGTATCAATTCTGATGGGTTCAATTATTATCTCCACACTCATGATTCTAAAATCTACTTATCTAGCTCTCATCTCTCTCCTGAACTCCAGACTTGCATCACCAAATGCCTATTGGACTTCTCAAATTAAATGTCCTTTAGACATCTTAAACTCAACGTGCTCAAAACTGAATTCATTCTCTTTCCTCCCCAAATCCTCCCCTTTTCCAAACTTCCCTATTATTGTCAAGCATACCACCATCCTCCTAGTCATAAAGGCTCACCACCTTGGTGTCATCTTTAACTCACTGTCTTATCCCCACATGTCTAATCTGTTGCTAGGTCCTATCGTTTCTTCCTTTACCTCTCATATACACTCCTCTCCTCTGCCACTGGTGCAGGCTCTCATCCTTTCAGGCCTGGACTATTTTAACAACTTTCTGGTTGGTCTCCTTACCTCAAGTCTCTTCTCCACTCCAGTCCATTCTCTATTCAGCTGCCCAAGTTATCTTCCCTAAAGGACAGGTCTGACCATATCACCCCACCTCCATTCCATAAACTCCAATGTCTTTATATTTCCTTCAGGATCAAATATAAAATCAACTAGATTTTAAAGTTCTTTAATACTTGGTCCCTTCCTACATAGTCTTCTTATACTTACTTTCCAATACATGTCCAGTGAGACTGGCTTCTGATGCTCCCTATACAACATAATGCATGTCTAAGCATTTTCACTTAGAAAACTGGCTGCTCCCAACACCTACAACATTCTCTCCTCCTCTTCTCTGTCTCCTGGCTTCCCTGACTTCCTCCATGGCTCAGCTGAAATTCCATCCTCTATAAGAAGCCTTCTGATCTGACTTAATGCTAGTGCCTTCCCTTTGTCAATTATTTCTAATTTATCCTGTACACACACACACACACACACACACACACACACACACGTTCTTTGCACATAGTTGTTGGCATGTTATCTTCCCCAGTAGACTATGATCTTCTTGAGAGCAGAAACAATGTATTTCTTTGCTTTTCTGTATATCCTCACTGCTTAGCATAATGCTTAGCACGTAGCAGGCCCTTAATAAATACTTGTTGGCTGTGGGTCTCAATAGTAGTAAACCTTTGGAAAGTATGTTTCCCTCTTGTATGTTTCATTTGATATTTATAATTAGGTCATTAAACAAAGTTATCTTGTTAATAAGTATCTTAGAAGTTGCTCATCAGAGACACTTAAGTTGCTATTATTGCTGTCACTGTTGTTTTTAAAGGCTGGGTCTCCTTATATCACTCAGGGTAGATGTTCTGGGGCTACTTACAGGCTCATTCCCATTACTGAAGGGCATGGGAGCTTTGCGATCCACTGTTTCCAACTTGGGCTGGTGTGCCTCTCCTTAGACAACCTGGCGGTCCCTATGCTTGTGTTCAGCATTTTAATTGCTAGAGAATTGACAATCTATGGCAGCTCAAAACTCAAGATCCACCAACTTCAGCCTCATCAGCAGCAGGGATTATAGACATGCTGGACTATGATTGTATAGGGATACTTTGTTAGAGGAGAACCTTTATGGAAGCATCTCACCTTGCTCAAATATTTTTTTCTGGGCAACAAAAACAAAAGTATCTTCTATTCTTGAAAACTTTTTGCTAATTATGAGACTGTAAAGATGTGATGTATAGAATATTGTTTGCAAAAACCTGTCTGTTCCCTTTTAATATTTTCATCAAGGATGCCTATAGTTAAATATCACAATTCAAATACATAGATTTATTAAGTTTTTCTATGAATTGTTCATTTTGAAGATCAACCAATTAACTGTAAAACTGTTATAATTTAAAAAAATAAAAAAGCAAAAATAAATCTTATTTCAAGCTGTATTCATATGAAATATCAAACATATAAAGCTGAAATTCCAGTCAACAAAACTATCCAGAGAACTTATCTCTATAATTTAAATTGCTTACAACAGGAAAAGTCACAAAAGGAGTAGGGCTAGCCATGAAAAATTATAATTACATATTCTATAGTTTATGTTTCTCTATGACTTCTTTTTTAAGAATAGAAAAACGGTAATTCTGAATGTAAAAAATAGCTTTAAACAGAATTATAAGAGTTATGATTAAGAATCTTACTTTTTTATCTTTCTCTTTCAGAGAAGCTTCACTTCCATCATGACTCCTTAAACCTAACCTTAAACAAATAAATGTTAACTTTAAAATATATTTATGTTTATTATACAGAGGCAATAAAGAGTAAAAGGACGCCAAGAAACATGGCTATTCTGAATTAGTTATATGATCACAAATAGATCACTTAAAACTTCAACTTCCCAATCTGTAAAATCAAGGTTGGAACCATTTCATCTCTAAGGGTCCCTTTTTGACTCGAAGATTTGATGATTTAGTTCTTGCATTTAACTATTATGAAAACAACCATTTAAATGAGTCATTTTAAAAGCATCACGTTTGTTTTTATGTATTATATGTCATCAGAGTAACATAATACAAAATGAGACAGGGAAAGATAGTAATTGATTACAATAGATCATATTAAAATACACATTTAATCAAAACACTTACAACTTTTTTGAATTAGCTACAGAAGTTCCTTTGATAGTAGTCTGAAATTCCTCTGTCTACAGTATGAAAAAGAAGTAAACTACATAGTTATTTCAGAGATCAAAGTGGTATAAGAAACATTTAAAGTGTATGTAGAGCTAATTATTATCAATCAGTCATATAGTTAGGTCATGATAAAATCATTTATGAAAATTTAATCACAATTATAAAGAATTACAATAACAAATATGTACATTTTTTCACTTTCAAGAACAGAATTATCATTGCAACTTTAAAATGAGACTCAGAAAATTAAAGAATGAAATAAGGAATTTAGGATCATCAATAATCTCTTCTATATTTATATAAAAAATGTCAGATAACTATATAGAAAAACAGCTTAGCAATATAGGAAGTTTTGTGTATGCTAGTTTTATTATAATAGAGATACTTATATTGATTACATGATTACCATATAGCTGTATTTAAGGTGTAGGCCTCTCTTATGAGATTCTGGCCTATACCTCAAATAAAACAACAGGACATCTCCCCTATATATCCTAATTGAATCTCAAATTCAATATATCAAAAGCTGAGTTTATTGTTTTTCTGCCGAAGTCTGCTCCTCTTTCTGACTTGACTACTCTGACAACTGGGACTACTTTAGCATTATCTTGGGCATTTTGTCTCTCTCCCATGTCATATTCAATTAGTTAACAAGTCCTATTAATTCTATGTCTGCAATATTTCTCACATTCACCTATTTTTCTCTATTCCTCATATTATAACCTCAGTATAGGCTCTAATTACCAACACTCTTCTAACAAGACCTCTCATACCCACCCTTTCCTCCCTTCAATCTATCCTTCATATTATATGCAGATAGATGAATCTTTCTCATAAATAAATCTTGTCCTGTTATTCTTCAGTGGCTCCCTATTACTTATAATGCAGCTCCATTCAAAGTCCTCTACAATCTGATTCTACTCTACCTTCCCAATCTTATCACATATTGTCCCCTTCTATGCACTGCACTATGGGCAACTAAACAACTTTGCCAATATAGTGCTGGGCCTGGAGTCAGGAAGACCTGAGTTCAAATCTGGCCTCAGACACTTACTAGCTGTGTGACCCTGGGCAAGTCACTTAACCTCTTCTTGCTTTAATCCACTGGAGAAGGAAATGGCAAACCACTCAAATATCTTGGCCCAGCGATAGTATGGTCTACAGGGTGACAAAGAGTCAGACACAACTGAACAACAACAAATGCACTGTACATTCCAAACAAACTGAACTATCACCTATCCCCTAAACTTGCCCTGTATTTTCCCACCTCCCATCATTTGCTCAGACTTTTTTACTGTGCTCAGAATGTCTTCCATTCCCTTCCTGAACTTTTGTACCCCTACCCATCTTTTAAAGACCAAGCCAAATACCACATCCTGTAGGAAGCCATCCACAATCCCCCCACTTAATAAACACTGCCCTCTCAGGCCTCACATAGTACTTTGTTTTAAATCTTGCTAATGCACTTAACATGCATCTTTGTGTCTTATACCTCACTTATATACTATTCATACATGAATGAATTTTAAACTCCATAAGAGCAAGGACTGTGTCTTATTCAAACTTTAAATGTCCATAATATATTTTCATTAACGTGGACTGAACTGAGGGGAAAAAAAGGTTAATCAAATTGAATTAATCTTACACCAAGTCTTATGGTAGGGTCATCACCTCCATTCAAGTTAAAATTATAAACATCATTCCTGTTGAAATAAGAAAAAAATAGTTGATGCTGAAAATACTATATTAATATAGTTACTCTAAGCAGTAAACACAAAATGTCTAGGAAAAAATTACTTACAAAGCACATTCAGAAGTCATATTAACAGAAGTAGTCCTCTTCCATTGTTTAGAATTTTTAATTGGGACTTTTTCCTATATGCAAAAAAGAGCATTTTTTAAAAATTACTAGATAATGATATTGATTACATGATTATTGCATGCTTACTCAAACCTGGTCCTCTCCTTTGAGATCCAGACTCACATTTCAAACAACCTACAGGAAATCTCCACTGGACGTCCCAAGAGTACCTCAAATTTGCTATATCTAAAAGTTTAGCTTATTGTCTTTCCCCCTAAATTTGGCTCTGCTTTCCAACTTCATTACTCTCATCAGTGGTACAATGCTGGTTTTATCCTAGACTCTTCTTCCCTCTTCGCTGTCAGTCATATTAAATCAACAAGGATTTATTAAGCACTTACTACACTTACTATGTACTAGACACTGAACCAAGTTCTGAGGATATAAAGTAAGGCAAAAGAGCCCCTGCCCTCAAGGACCTCATATTCCAATAGGGAAAACAACATGCAAACAACTATGTACAAACAAGATGGAAAAGTGGTAAAGTGAAGGTAATCTTAAAAGGCTGAAAAAGGGTTCTTGTAGATGACAGATTTTGAACTGATTCTTTAAAGAAATCAAGGAAGCCATGAGGTAGAGAAGAGGAGAAAGAGCATTATTGGTATTGGGGCCAGCCAGTTGAAAATTCATGGAGTTTGGAGATGGAGAGTGTCTTTTGTGAGGAACAATAAGGAAGCCAGCATCACTGGATCAGAGAGTACATGGAGGTGAGCAAAGTATAAAATGACTGGAAAGGTAGGAAGGATCAGATTTTAAAGGGTTTTAGAATTCAGAGGATTTTATATTTGATCCTACAGGAAATACGGAGCCACTGGAGTTTACTAGATGGGGGGTGAGGGTGGGAGAGAGTAATACGGTCAACTCTGCACTCCAGGAAGATCACTTGGGTGTCTGAGTAGAGCAAAGAATGGAGTAGGGAAGCAATCTGAGGCAAGACCAACCAGAAAACTATTGCAATAGTCCAGGCCTGAAATGATGAGCCTATATCAGTGTCAGAGGAAAGAAAGGAGTATATATGAAAGATGTGAAAGTAGAAATAATAGGACCTAGCAACAGATTAGATATGTGGGGCGAGTGAGAGCAAATTAAAGATGACACCAAAGTGGTGAACCTTTATGACTGGGAGGATAGTGGTACCCTTGACAATAATAGGGAAGTTTGGAAGGAGGAAGGTTTAGGGAGGAAAGAGAATGAGTTCCGTTTTGAAAATGTTAAGTTTAAGACGTCTAAAGGATATATAATTTAGGAAGTCCAACAGGCATTTGGAGATGTGTGTCTGGAGGTCAGAAGAGAGGTTAGGGCTGGATAAATACCTAGTCAAAGGACTACATTAGTATATCTGATCAAACATGGCCTATTCAAATGAATTTAAACATATATTTTCTCTCGTGCTTCTACTTACATAAGAAATATGGTTCAAATAGTTGAATCAAACTTCAATAAAACATGCTTTAGGTTGCTATTTGACAGTCAATTTGAGTGCTTATACTTTTGTACCAATCAAAAACATTTCAGAACATATATTTTAATTTACTTAATCTATACTTTTTGTTGTGTACCAATAAATGGCCTTTTAACTGACATGGTAACTAATAGTACCTTCTATTCTATAGCCTTTTGTAGTTGGCAATATAATAATATTTCTAAAAATTTTTAAATCAATTTTATTTTATTTTCAGTTCCAGATTCTCTCCCTACCCTCCCCATTGAAAAGGAAAGAAATACAACTTAAAACATACTTTCATATTATTTCACTTGATAATCACGCAAGGTTGGAGGCCAAGCATTATCATCCACATTTTCTAGATTAAGAACATGGACTCAGAAAAAGTAAGAGATTTGCCCAAAGGAATAGCATAAACTCAAACATCCTTCTATTACACTATAGTTTATTATATAATTCCAAAAGAGTAAGGCATTCTATGTTGTCAGTAACCCCATGTGCATTAAAATTTAAATATAAGAAAAGGAAAACAGTGAGTGAAACTAACATATTTCATAATTCTGTTGAGAAGTGAGTTGTAAAAATATCAATGACTAATATTGCTACAGAAAAATATGCTGAAAATTCAGTCAAGTAAATTATAAAAGGCCCACAATTAGAAATATACTCAATTAGATCTAAAATAAAGCATAATTAAGTAGAAGCTTTAAGTAAAAATGAAATAAGAGAATTGTAGTTCTTTAAGAAATCAACCATCATTACTTTATAGAATTACAGTGACAAAAATGTAAGTTATACATATACATATGTAAACTTATACACATATGTGTACATCTGGAACACTGGGTTTTATGTGATCACTTCCACTGATTATTCTTTATTGGATGTAACATTATGGTCAACATGTACTCCTTTTAAAATAAAGGATTGATCCCATTTAATTTCCTTTTTGCAATATGATTGTACTGCTTCTTTTAGGGTAGAAAGAAAAATTTTGCATTTTCTGATATTATAATACTATCAAAGGCATAATGACTGCTACCCTACATTTGTATATAGGATATATTATGTTAATGTATTTGAAAGAAAAAAATTTTCCCTTGAATGTGTAATTCACAAATTTTTGGATGGAAAATAAGTTAATCCTAAGTACATAATTTCATTGGCTATTGAGTTATTCACTTTTTTATACACTGGCTTATAATAACTTAAAAAAGAGAATGTTTGAATCAATCACTAATCTTATATTTGACTATTTTTCTAATAAAATATAATTAAATATATTAAAATAGTCTATCAGTTCTATAACCAAATTAAACCTACCTTGCTGATAAGTAGACCAGGTTTATTTGAATTCTTCCTATTTAAAAAAAAAGTTTTTGTCAAATTAAAACAACACTTGAAAACCAGTACAATAAAGAAATAAAAAATTTTCTTAAAGAAGGTGATGTATAGCTGACTAAGTCTGTGTCTATATAAAATTACAATAAAATTGTTGTACAGTTTGGTTCTTAGATTTGTGTGGTTAAGTTGACTATTAGTGCTTCCAATGAATCATCATCTAGAGATAAACTAGATTTTCTTTTTTGGTCCAGTCCTATGATTTCAGGGGTATAGTGAACTGATCTCTACCTAAGTAGGTTCCTCTGTTCCTGCAACTTAAACTTTTAGGAAATTGCATGGAGGCACCAAGAAGTCAAGTGATTTGCCCTTAATTCTTCCCAAATAAAGTCTAAATACCATATCACAAACTTTTCTGATCTGGATAGATGACTACAAAACCTGAAATAAGAGGTTATGTTTATGTTTTCAATTTAACAATCATTTATAAGGTGTCTTCAGTCATTTTTCAGTGTCTAACTGTGAACTCCTTTGGTATTTCCTTGGCAAGGATACTGGAGTGGTTTGCCACGTCCTTCTTCAGTTCATTTTACAAACTGGTTCATAACAACAACTTATATTATACAATATGATATCAAAATATATGTGACCTGAATATTAAGGATCACATTATAAAAAAACACCAACTAGAAGAACCAGTAAGTTATCTTTGATAGCAATGGTTAGAGGGAGAATTCTTAACCAGTTAAGGGGTAAACGTGTTTATAAAAGAAAAAAAATTTAAATATAAGAAATTTATAAGTTTTTGCATGTACAAAATTAATAGAACTAGAATAAAAAAGGGAAGCTACTAAGGGGAAAAAAAAAAAACTTTTGCAGCAAATATAAAGCCCTCATATCCAAGATCTAGAAATTGATCAATAAAGGAGAGGATTCTGGGAAGATGGTGGAGTAGGTCAGAAAATTTCAAGTTCTCCAGATTTCTCCCATAAACAAGACAAAACAGTGCCTCAAGGCAAATGTAGAGTGGTCAAAATACACAAAAGTTGGGGCAGAACACTGGTCCTCCTGGGACAAACTGGACAAGATCCAAAGAAAAACCCCAGGACTGAGATTTGGTCAATGTGAAGAGTAAACACCTCCAGGCTGGTTCCCCTTAAACAGCAAGCCTGAGCAAGCCTGAGCCTTGAGGTTAGCAGGATTGAGAGGTAGCCTCAGCCACAGGAACTTCTACTTCCTAGACAGCATTGGGAGTCTGTGTATGATCCAGGGAAGATTAAAGGAACCTCTGCCAATAAGGAATGCCAGAGCCAGCTGTACTGCTGAGATGGGGTCCTGGGTGAGAACGAACCAGTAGAGAAGATGAGTACAGAAGCAGTGGGGTGGGGATGTCCTTGGCTGTGGGTATTTACAGGAAGACACAATTCTTGGTTTCAGGTCCAGGCCACAGGAGAGAACTGAAGGAGGATCTGAGGCCAGAGACACCATCTCCTATATCCCAGGACTAGAGATGATTACAAAAAACAAGCTGCTACAAATTTTACCAAAATAAGCCGGCAAAAGAGAAAGAACCCAACCACAGAAAGTTACTATGGGAAGAAAGAAGACCAGGGTTTGTCTTCAGAGGAGGATGCTGAAGGAGTAAAAGGGTCTGCTACCCAAAAGAGTACATTAAATGGTCACCTGGTCAAAAAGAATTCGTAGAACTTAAAAAAGATTTTAAAAATCAAATGAGAGAGATTGAGGAAAAATTAAAGAAAAAATAAGAGCAATCCAAGAAATCCAAGGAAAAAAAAGATTATGAAAAGAAAGTCAATGAATTAGAAAAGGAGATTCAGAATCTTAAGGGAGAAAATAACTCCTTGAAAATTGGAATTGGACAAGAGGAAGCCAGCAAAGTTATAAGAGACCAAGAAATAATAAAACAAAATATAAAGAATGAAAAAACAGAAGAGAATATGAAATATCTCATAAGAAAGACAACTGATCTGGAGACTAGATCAAGAAGAGAAAACATAAGAATAATCGGACTGCCTGAAAGCTACGACCAAAAAAAGAATCTTGACACAATAATACAAAAAAAAAAATTAAAGAAAACTGTCCTGAAGTGTTAGAACAACAGGGGAAAGTAGAAATAGGAAAAAAATCACCAATCATCACCTGAAAGAGATCTTATGAGGAAAAACTACAGGAATATTATAGTCAATTTCCAAAATGCTCAGCTCAAGAAGAAAATATTATGAGCAACAAGAAAAAAACAACTTAAATATGGCAATGCCACAATTAAAATCACACAAGACCTAGCAGTGGTAACACTAAAAGACTGCAAGTCTTGGAACACTATACATTGAAGAGCAAAAGAAATGGGCTTCTGGCAGAAAATAAACCCAGCAAAGTTAAACATAATCCTGAATGAAAAGAAATTGACATTTAATGAATTGTCAGACTTTCAGGATTTTGTTTAAAAAAACAAACAAAAAAACAAAAAAATTTGAACTTAAGAGAAGATCGGACATATAAGATTCAAGAGAAATACAAAGTACATGTTAAAGACTAATTACAAGGGACTCAATGAGGACAGACTATTTACTTTTTTATGAGAAAATGTAAAATGTATATCTAAGATTGTTATTAGTAAATTAGGTAATTCAAAAGAAAGACTGGAGTAGACCTGATAGGATCCTAAAAAATAAAACTGTTTAAGAAAAAGAGTAATTATCTTATACAAATGGAGTGTGAGAAGAACTGACACAAAGGAATTAGATGGGGGAGGATGGCTGGTACTTCTGGAACCCTACTTTCATTGGGAATGGGTTTAAGAGGGAACAATACATACATACATACATACATACATATGTTATATATTATATATTTAGAAGGGTATAAAAGTCTTCTAAATTCAGAAAGAAATAAAAAGCTAAGGGAATAGGAAGGGGGAGGGGATAAGAGAGGGATTTTTAGAGAGGAGGATGAGGGAATAGGATAAATGTGGGTATAGAAGGATGTTTAGGTTAACAGGAATAGGAGGATAAGGGAGGGATCCTAGGAGAGGGGGTAGGTTAAGTAACAGGAGGGCAAGGTAGGGGGTAGAAGTAAAGTAGAAAAGCCAGAAGGGTTAAGAAACAAGAGATACACACAAACATAAAATAAAGATCATGAGTAGAATTACTGGGGAAAAAAACAGGGGTAGTAATCATGATTTCAAACAAAGTTAAAGCTAAAACAGATTTAATCAAAAGAGAAAAACAGGAAAACTACACTACATGTCAGCCATATTAATCAATATTGTTTTAGACTATTCAAAATAACTAGACAGTGTAGGGTTGGAATATTGCTGTGTTGTAGGAAATGATGAGTTGGTGGACTTAGAAAAATACAGAAAGACTCAGACTTATGGGGAGGAAGGGGGCAGGGGAAGAACAAAGTAAAAAGTGCACAGCAGAGAACAAAAGAAAACTTACAAGGAAGCAAAGACACGATGGACAGCTCTGAACACAATGCATAGTATTTATTATATCGGCTTTCTTGAAAAGGAAATTTATTGCATTTTATATACATATTTATATACATATTTTGAATTCTGTTACATTCTGCTATCTATATGGCAACTTTTTTTCCTTTTCTTATTTTGTATTTAAGCTTTAATATTTAAGTTTATAATGTTTCTTTTTCTTATTGTATATTTAAGTTTTTCTATATAAGTTTAAAATAAATTAATTTTAAAAAAAGAAATTGATCAATAAGCATTTAAGTACTTATTTTGTATCAGGTACTGGACTAAATGCTAAGGATGCAAAGGAAAATGAAGTCCCTAATCTTAAAGAGTTTATAATCTAATAGGGGTTAAATAGGCATACACTATACACACACACACACACACACACACACACACACACACACACGTTAACATTTATATGTAACATGTACATATTAAATGAAAAATAATCTCAAAATGCAGGCAAGTAGCTGTGGGGGGAATTGGATAAGACTTTCTACAGAAAGTGGGATTTAACTTGAGTCGTAAGGGAAGATGGAGAAACTAAGAGGTAGACATGAAAGAGAAGAGTATTTCAGCCATGGGGGCCAACTAGTGCAAAGCACTAAGATGAAAGATGAAGTACTTTCCCCTAGAAGAGGAGAGGATTAATTGCCTTCCTCTTCTAGGGGAAAGTACTACCAGTTGTGGAGATCAGGCCACCCATAAAAGGTGGCATTTAATATATATAGGAAACCAACATAAATACACAAGACAAAAAGGCATTTCTCAGTGCATAAGATATTAAAGGACATAAACAGTTCTCAAAAGAATTGCTAACCATTAACAACATATAAAAGACTGTTACAGATCACTAACTAATTTAAGTATAACAGAGTAGAGAACTGATGGAAGAGGCTTGGGAATCTGCTTACAGAAAGGTATTATTGACATAAAACTGGAAGAATCCTGCTGTCCAATTTGGAGCATACTTAAGTTATTCTGTAGCTAGTTCTGATCTGCTATCCACATGATGAAGAGACAGACTATTGATTAGCTGTGTAGCCAGAATGGGGGTGCAAGCAAAATAGTCATCTTGGGTGTGTTTGATCCCTGGCTTTTCCCAAAATGACTGGCAATGAAAAAGAATTAAGCCTGAAGTAGGTGGAGAGGCCACAGACTTTTATCTCTCAAGAAAGCTGCCTAATGATGCTAAGAATAAATGGCTCTGCTATTGCTTTTATTGTGTTCATTCTTTCCTGTTTTTAGGTGAAGGAGACTACAGATGGATGTGATTCTGTGATCTTCTGTAAGTCAGGAGAGTTAGGTACCAGAGAGGTTCAGGAGCCAGGGTTTTATTAGAAGCTCAATGACAAAGTACTGAGCAACATGCTTGCCTCAGTTCAGTGGTATCTGACACTCAAATTTATTCAAATGTTGTGAATTCAGTGAGATAAACATTATGTAGAAACATCATCAAGTCTGAGCCTATTTTTCCCAGGGAGTGGGGTGATATAAAGGAGAATATGTCCCACAGGTGTTGA